GATTCTGTCTTGGAGGTGGAAGCTAATAAATGCAACAGAACTGTATCTGTACTGTCTCGTGGAGTTCTTTGGGCTGAACCTGACATAATACTGTATAAGTAGTATTGGTTAATGAACTTGAACTGTTGTGTCTTTAACTTGAATCATTGTGTCTTTAACTTGAATTTTGCTACAATAGGCTCCGTTCTTAACTATGGGCCATCCTTAAACTGGGTCTTCTTAACCTGGGGACAACCTGTATTCTTATATTTCAAAAAAGGAAGGTGGAAGGAGGAGGGGGGGGAAGCCACTCACAAATCTTTGGGGAGCCCCTGTGAGATGGGGTTCAGATGTCTTCTCTTCTGGAGGGATTGCTTCTCTGTGACCTACTACCTCTTGATGAGAAGATACTACATTATATGGAGAGCCAGTGGAAGCTCTGGGAGATACGGCGTGCACGTTATTTTAGTTTATTACTGTGTCCGTAGGTTTAGACGCAGTTTTTTTTTTCTTTTTGGTGCCTTCAAGTCAGTGTTGACCCCTGACAACTGCCCAAGCAAGTCCCTGCGGTTTTCTTGGCAAGATTTTCAGAAGCGCTTTGCCCTGGCCACCTTCTTCCTAGGGCTCCAATCCAAGTATCACTCCCATCAGACTCTCCTTAACTTATGGAGATCGGTCAAGTGGGGTCAGCGCTATCCCCAAGTTGGGCTAGCCATTCTAATAGAGGTCAGTAAGATAAGGCTGAACTCAAACGACAACTCAGCCAAACGTCTAGAAAATCTAGCAAGGACAGTTCTGCTTCTGAGTTTGAAAGTCAGCACTTGATAACTGGCCACTTGATAAGCAAGGAATTACAGGTACCAAGAGCAAGCTTACGCATTCAATGTCTAATTTTTTAATGATCTGACTCAGCATTCTAGTTCTTGCAGTCTTCTAAAAGCAGGGTAAAACCTTTAGATAACATACCTCTCCTAGTCTTTCTTATTTAGTTTGTTACTTACTTAGACTTATTAACTTACTTGAAAGAGGAGATTCAGATGCTCTTCTAGACAGTGTGGTGTGGTGGTGAAGGTCCTGGACTGGGAGCAGGGAGACCTGGGTTCCCCCTCCCCAGCCACAGAAACTCCTGGGTTCTCTCCCAGCCCCAGAGCCAGTGTGGGGTAGTGGTGAAGGTGTTGGGTGAGGAGTGGGGAGACCCAGGTTCTAGTTCCCCCTCAGCCACAGAAGTTGTCTGTGGGACTTTGAGCCTCCTTCTCAGCCCAAGAGGCAGAATGCTTCAGTGGTGAAGGTGTTGGAGTAGGAGTGAAGAGACCCACTTTCTAGACCATCAGACATGGAAACTCCCTGTGAGTGTTTGAGCCAGTGCCTTCCTCTCAGCCCAAGAGACAGGATGGTCTAGTGGTGAAGGTGCTGGACCAGGAGAGGGAGACCCAGGTTCAAGTCCTTCCTCAGCCACAGAAACTCCCTGGGGGACTTTGGGCCAGTTCTTCCCTCTCAGCCCAAAAGACAGGATGGTCCAGTGGAGAAGGTGCTGGACTAGGAGTGGGGCAACCCAGGTTCTGGTCCTGCCTTGGGCATGGAAGCTCTCTGATTGATGTGGGGAGATAGTCTCCACTCTCTCCCAACCCAACAGCCAATGTGCGGTGGCAGTGAAGGTGCTGGATTAGGAGTGAGGAGACCCAGGTTATGGTCCAGAAGTTCACTAGATGATTTGAGCCAATCCCTCTCAGCCCAAAAGACAGGATGGTCCAGTGGAGAAGGTGCTGGACTAGGAGTGGGGCAACCCAGGTTCTGGTCCTGCCTTGGGCATGGAAGCTCTCTGATTGATGTGGGGAGATAGTCTCCACTCTCTCCCAACCCAACAGCCAATGTGCGGTGGCAGTGAAGGTGCTGGATTAGGAGTGAGGAGACCCAGGTTCTGGTCTAGAAGTTCACTAGATGATTTGAGCCAATCCCTCTCAGCCCAACCTACCTCACAAAGCTATTGGGGGAATAAAAATGAAAGGAGATCTTCATGGAAGATGGTTTCAACTCCTGGAAGAAGCACAGGATGGAAGACAAAGAAATGAACTGAGTAAACTCATGAGATTAAGCTTGTACAATAAACCAACCAGATCAGGACATTTCCTCTAGACTCTCTCCCCACCATCATGGAGATTTAAACTTAGCTCAGCTTTTCCTCATCTACTACCTTCTGCACCAGTGTAATTTCTGTCTATCTGGTGGGGAGCATGGAATTAGTCTCCAGAAAGGGAGACAACTTGGAAGATGTGGCCCTTGCCACTTCTGCAACGTGGTAGGGGAAACTCAAAATCCCTGGAAGGACCTGAATAAAGAGATGGGTGAACAAATGCCCGCTGTGTTGCAAGGAGGACATGTCTCCATAGCAACTTTAATTATGTTCTGGATTAAAAATGTGCTCTGCATAATGGTATGAATTTTAATGAGAGGAGGTGGAAATGCACTGGCTGATTGAGGGTGCTTCCTCCTCAATCCCACATCTAGCTAGGCATTGTCTTCTGCCAAGCCACCGAGAGGAGCAGAATCACACTGAATTCCCACCACACTGGATTTCCTTTTAAAAGGTTATTTTGGATTTTAAGAGCACGGGCGTAGAACTTGGGCAATGCTGGTACGCAAACCACCGGCCCACAGTGCTTTGCAAGGACTAAAAGCGCATTGTGGGGTTACATTAGTTTTCCTGCCGTGAGTTTTTTTTCTTTGGGGTTTAATTCACCCGTCTGCAACCAACATAAATGTTGTAAAAATCTCTTCGGTCGAGTTTTTCTTTCGATAATAAAGGCTTGGTGAATGGCTTGCAGGTGGGGTTGGCTTATTTGTTTGTTGCAGAAAAAGAAATATTTTGGGGGATGGAGAGGTGTGCAAAGAACACACTGGTGCTGTTCCTGTCCCCTCCCTCCCTCCCTCCCTTCTTTCCAGTTGACCTGGGATTTGCTAGTGGTCTCCCATCCAATTACTAACCAGATAGTCAAGGTCAGCCAGGCGCTCCCACCTTCTGAGACTTGGAGAAATATGGCAATTTATTATCAGAAGCACATACTAATGGCAGTATCGTTACAGTCTTCTCTAATTAACCTGAGTCAGGTAGAACTATCCAGCTGTGGTTATAGCTGCTGTTGTTAAATTTTTGGATTTAACAAATTTTGGTTTTTCCAGGGCCACCTGGAGATGCAAAACCTGTACCTTTTTGCACGCCAACAGGTGCTATCAAATTGTAGGGGGGGAAAGTTCCAAGTTACCATGCTTTTCGAGGCCTTAAGGCAGTGTTTCTCAACCTTAGCAAGTTTAAGCTGTGTGGACTCCAACTCCCAGTATTCTCCAGCCAGGATGCTGGGAGTTGGAGTCCACACTGCTTAAAGCTGCTAAGGTTGAGAAAGACTGTCTTAAGGTATCCCCTACTTTATTCCTGTCTTAGAGATGTTCATCTTTAATGCCCTGCAGTAGATGCTGCCATTAACGGATTATCTGCTTTTATCTCATTACAGATGCTGGAAAATTGGATATTGACCATCCTCGTTTCCGTAGGCGTGGGCTCCATTCTCGTCCTGGTGGCTGCGTTTATGCTAGTCAAGCATAACGCTTACGCCAAAATCTTCTGGAACGAGATTGTTTTGGAGAAGATCACCAACTTCGTCATGGATCAAAGCAAAGAGCAGAGGATTTTAAATACGGTATCGTACAACGCCGTCAAAGGGGATCCGGAGAGTGTCATGAAATGCATTGATAAATACTGCTCCCAGTACGAATGGGCCATGAACGTTGGGGATGAAAAAGGTAATTTCCATTTCACCTTCTTAAGAGATCAAAAAAAAGGACGTCAGAACCGATGGAATATTCCTAGCTAGAACATGATCTGAAAGTCCCTGGTTTAGATTAGCCCTCTCTTTAACAAGCTGCTTTCTCTTTTTAAGTCGTTAACCCCAAATCGAAAAGGAGAAATAGAAATAGGTAGATCTGTATTCAAGAAAAAGAAAAGGCTGATGAAAACGGCAATTTGTGAATATTTTGGAGGCAAACGTAAGACCTGTTGCACATTTTCAGGGGAGAATGCATCTGATATTAATATCAGGAAGGACAATTGATTGATTACACTTGGTATTACTTTTAGCACTAAAAGGGAATTAAATTGGCAAACAGCAGCCCTGGATGGAGTATATGAGGAAGTCTCTGTTTTATTCTCAAAATTGGGAATGATCTGGAACTGGACCTATTTAGGTTCTAGCATTTTTTTTAATGCCCTTTCTACTTTAGTGAGGAATAGCATTTTCTTGCTGGAAAAACAAACCTGCATTAAGTTTTACTTATAGATGATTCCATATGAATGTTATTTTATTTTTAAAAGCAGCTGGTTGCGTCTTTTCTATCAAAAGGTCCTGTAATTCTGTGTTTACCACTTAGCTACCTTGATTTTAATAGTTTGGGGTCAGAGAGATGCCTGGAGGTTGATTCCACATGTCCCCAGGAATAAAAGGGAAACAGAAGTACCACACCCAGTATGAGTTGAGCCGAGAGCCGGCTGTTCCCAGGACAATGTCGTCAGTTCTACTGATAACAACAGCTTCAAGGCCAACAACACACACAACGGAGTTCACTGAAATGGCACGGGAATGAGAAAAATCAATGGGTTTGAACTGCCGTGGGTAGAAAAATGGGATGGCACCCTTAGGTTTGGAGAAGGCAACCACGTGACTTTGTTTTAGCATGCAATGAAAATTCTTAGCTTGTAGTGCAGTGTCTCTGATGTTCCAGTTAAGGGCATGCCGTACCAAGCCTTGACAAGGATCCGGGAATTTTGGCTGCCGTTTCACCCAGAAGCCTGACACCCGGGGACTGGCCCCTGGAATTCCACTTAAAATCATACTAATCTCTTGAGGATCGTTTAATCGGTTTTCCTGCATGTTGCAGAGCGTTGAATGGCTAGATGATCCTTGTGGTCCCACCTCCATAATTTGAAGATTCTATGATCTACCACAAGCATATGAGTGGAATTCTGATTTTTCCAGCTAATGGCAGAAGGGGGGGGGGGGGGAGGCGTCTGAGGGGGGGTGCCATCTAATGC